ATTGGCTGATTTTTCTGAACTAGTTCCTCCTGAGCATGCCACTAAAAGAGTTTACTTTCTTACCCCAATTATTAGGCTATACAACTATCAGATTTATAAATATGAGAAAACCATTAGTTTTTGAAGTATAAAGCAGAAAAACTGGCTAGAACTGTATAGCATATGGATAAATCAGAGGAATTCCTTCCGATCTTTACTAAAAATAAACTATTTTTAGAACCATTCTCGAGTCTTTAATGCAAATTGATTTGAATATGCAGTTGAACAGATTATATTTTTCAAAGGATGAAACTTGAACTTGCAATGCGTCTGGGAGAAGGTTAAAAGAAATGTGTTCTTAAAGTTTTGGTGGCAACCCATATTGGGTCCCCTCTTGACCCTGAGAGAGTTTTGTTTCTCTTCTTTACACTTGAATAAATCCTACTCCTTTCATGCTTGGGGAGGAAAAAAGATTTGAAATTGGAGGCACTCAGAAGAATTTTTTTTTTGTGACAGATGATTTCCTAGAAGATATTGCATCTTCTAGGAATTATTATATATACTTGCCCAGCTGGAGTCTATCAATTTATACAGAGACCCTCTGGTTAAAGAGCAGGTCTCCAGGATATTTCACCAATAAGATAGTATGTACATCTCGTTCATGGGCAAATGCCTATGGGAAGCTGGCAAAGGAAGGAACCAGTGCTGCCACCCAAATACTCAGGCACACAGATGGCCTGACATTTCTGTGTCCTTAGAAGAGCTGGTTGTGATAAACTGGGAACAAGAGATGGGGAATTTCCGACTGAGGCACATAGGAAATGAATGTTGTCAGCTCAGGTTAGACAAACAGCAAGATCCCTAAATTAATGATCCAATGATAAGTCAATAAACAATGGTCCTTGGGCAACACGACGATGCTCCCTTATAGATGTAACCTGGACTATTATTTGGTGTAAAAATGTTTTCCTTAATTCTTGTGATATTTGCAAAGCCATGTATTTTTCAGAAAATGCAAGTATCCAACCTACAAGGAAAGGAAATGCATTCTTTTCCCTGGCAGCTTCCCTTCAACCTAAAATATGCTTGAATGCTGAGAAGCTGCTCCCGCTAATCTTTATTGAAATCATGCTTCTTCCCCCTAGATTGAACATCATATTTACGCCCAAGGCCTGAGCAGCCCACCCCTTTCTTCAAGTGTGGTTCAGAGAACTGATGGGTGGGCACTGCCCACATTCTTTCATATGAGATGTGTATGTTGTGGGTTTAAATTGCCTCTCAGATTTAGTTTGTATATTTGTTTTCTATTGGACATCGGTTTCTGTTAGTATATTAGTCTCCACTTCATTTTTATTTCCATTGGTTACATAACAAATGATCATAAGCTTAGGGACTCACAACAACATCCCTTTATTATCTCACCACTCTGGAAGCTCAGCTGGAGCTTTGCCTGGGATCTCTTGAGGTGAGATCCAGGCAGCTTACCTGGCCAAGAAACTACCTCTAACCTCATTCAGATTGGTAGGATTCTGGTTGCTTGTGGTTGTAGGGCTGAGGTGTGTTCCCTTGATGGCTGTCAATGAGGTGCTGTTTTGCCTTTGTATCCTAAAGGACCCCCTCTCATTCCTAGTGATATGGCTGCCTCAGTGTTCACACCAGCCGTGGCTGGGCAAAGTCATGTCATCCTCTGAATCCCTCTGGTTTTTCCTTCTGTCACCAGTCAGAGAAATTTCTCTGCTTTCAGGCCTCCTGAGAGGTCCATTGTGCCAGAAAATATGACCCACACAATTGGGAGTGACATCCTCTCATAGGTTCTAATTAGGGGGTATGGAATCTTGGGTGGGGCATCTGTCTCAGTGGTTCTTTCTTTCTCTATTTACCATGATTTGTTCCTAATTTTCCATTTTTAATATCAGCGATAGCAACTTTTGTACCAAAAAAAAAAAAAAACCTATTCATACCTACTAATTTTGATAGAATCATAGGGGTTGTTTTACTATATTAAAGAATATTAAACTTTATGGTTCCTGTGGAATTCTGCTGCACAAGAGACAATTCCTGTGAGCAAGTATATAAGTAGAATCCCACTATAGCTTTGCTAATACTATAATCTCTCTTAAAAACCTGACTTTCAATAGTCATTTTCATTGGCATGTCTTTCATTAAAAGTCCTGTTGATGTCTTTGTGTTCTCTGACGATGTCACTGACTGGGTGGGTGGTTGCATACTCCATCAGAAAAATCAGAAAGGCAGGAATAAGGTGCAATTTTTTTTTGGTACTAGAGATTGAACTCGGGAGCACTTGATCACTGAGCCACATGCCCAGCCCTATTTTGTATTTTATCTAGAGATAGAGTCTTTTACTAAGTTGCTTAGTGCCTTGCCATTGCTGAGGCTGGCTTTGAACTCAGAATCCTTTTGCCACAGCCTCCTGAGCCATTGGGAAGCTCTTTATTTTTAATGCTCAGGCACAAGGGAGATAGTATACAGAGACAAGAAATCCCAGGCTGACTCAAGCAGAGGATCAAAGCTGTATAGGTTTATGGCATCTACAAAGTAGGCAGGGACTTGTTTTCTTGATGTAGTCACATGTAGGGGTGGGGTTTTAGTTTCTTATCATGTCTCTTCATGGGAGTGTCTTATTACCACCTGAAGACTCTGCCTTGGGGTATGTTTTACTATGTGTGGAAAGGTAACTGCAGTTATTTTACTAACTGTTCTACCCAAGCATTTTCCCCTCATCACCTGGAATCCGCCCTTTGTCATCTGGGAGAGTCCCTAATATTATGTTTTAGAACAAGCCAGACTATTGGCCTCAGTGGGTTGATTTGGTCTGGCCCTGGCTGCTTAGTATCTCGGCTCACAGTCTCAAAAAAAGCTGCATTGACCTCTCAACCTCTCATCTTCTGTGTGTTATCTTAATTCCATAACCTTAAAGACTGGTACACATTTTTTAGTTCCTAACTTTTTGGTATGTCAGCTAACTTTACAAAACTGAGAGTCAGCTTGGCTGTCTCAGTTGTTCTTTCTTTCTCTGATCATTCTATTTTTTTTTTCTCTCTTTTTTGAGACAGGATCTCGCTAAATTGCTGAGGCTGGCTTTGAACTCAAGATCCTCTTGCCTCAGCCTTCCAAGCTGCTGGGATTACAGGCATGTGCCATCACACCCAGCTTCTCTGATAAAGTCTTTATCTGCCCTTTGATGTTTAAAAATCTATTGGGGTATTATTTTCTAAATCCCTTCACTAGGAATTGATTTTTTTAACTATTGAAAACCTACATATCATATATGTGATGGTTAATTTCATCTGTCAGCTTGGCTGAGCCATAGTTCTTCCCAGTTATCTGGTCAAACCTCAGTTTGGATGTTGCTGTGAAGGTCATTTTTTTTTTTTAGATGTGAAAGACATTTGTAATTGGTAGGCTTTGAGTAAAACAGATGCCCATTCACAAAATGGGTGGGTCTCGCTCACTCTGCTGAAGGTCTTAGATGACTGAAATCCTCTGAGGAAGAGGGTTCTGCCTCCAGCTGGCCTTGGCTTTCCAACTGCAGCTGCACCCTCAGCTCCTCCCTGGTCTGTGCCCTGAAGAATTCAGATTTACCATCCTGCAACAATGTGAACCTGTTCCTTAAAATAACTTGTTTCAGTGTCCCCAATACACACAAGAGTACACTCTCATACCCACACCCTTCGTGTTCATGTCTCTCTGGAGAACTTTAATACAAATCGAAGAAAATACAACTCCACAGATTTCTCCATGACAACAGTGGAAGCAACCCCTCACCATTCCAGTTAAACTTGGAGGAGATCATATTTTCAAACCTTTGAAAGGAAATAACCTATCCACTGGTAAGTGGGCACTCAATGTTTATCTTTGAAGGGAGATGAAATAATTGACAGGTGGAATTAAAGTGGATTTACACCGATTGATTCCTGAGCTAAAGGAATTTCTGAAAAAGACAGAAACAGCTGTATTCTCCTGCAGGATACTCTTATATCCAAGAAGGGTTTGTGAAAAACAAAGTGGGGATTCTATACTAAATTTGAAGTATTAGCAGCATAAAATAAGTATCTTAGTTGTGAGATGCCAAAAAAAAAAATAAATAAATACCAGATAAGAACAGTGTGGAATTAGGAGTGGCCTGATGGGAAAAGTTAATGTTTAGTCTCAGTAGGGTTGTTATGGTTTGGATATGAGGTGTCTCTCCCAAAGCTCCTGTATTAATACAAGAAATAAAATTCTTAGATTCTGAGAACTATAACCTAATCAGCTTAATCCATTTGATGGATTAATATTTTGAATGGATGACTGAATGATAACTGCAAGTAGGTAGGGTATGGTTGGAGGAAGTGCATCACTGGCAGTGTGAGTTACAGAAGATATATTTTGTCCCTGGCTCCCTGTACTGTCTACTTCCTGTCTTCATGAGATGAGCAGCTTTCCTTCTGCCAGGATGCTATCTCAGGCCCAGAGCCAACCATGGCCTGAGACCTCTGAAGCCGTGAGCCCGAAATAAACTTCACCTCCTCTACATTGTCGTGTCAGGTATTTCGGTCACAGTGTTGAAAAGCTGGTTAACACAGGGTCACGGAATACTCAATATTTTGCATAAAAAAAAATTATCCCTTGAAAGTATGTGAAAGAGCCAAGAGTGTCTTAAAACATCCACACAACCATTTATTTTTCAATCGAAATGATCACAATTTAGTCAAGCAATTTTTCCTTTATTTTTGTTAAATAAGACTCCAGAAAGTATAGTGCAAACACTCAGTAGAAAAGTTGCAATTAAGAAATGTACATTCACATTTAACATTTCAGTCCATTCACTTTTTTTTTTAAATAAAAATAGGACAAATTATTCAATTACTTGTCTCAATTTAACAATCTTGAAAAAGACTGGAAGGTGCTCTACAGTGTTCAGTTGACATAAAAATAGACCCGTATTGATTATACAAATCTATCATGAGAAGTTACCCAGTGAGATTGAGTTATTGTGATTCTGAATATAATCATTGTGTTCTCATGTCTACAGAAGCATCCTCAGTGAGTTTATTGTGTGGGAGAAAAGGATCTCTTGCCAGTGCCACTCTTTATCTCACCGAGAGATGCAACCCTCTCTAGCCAAACACAGGGCATAGGAGCTTACATGACTTTTCTCAGCAAGTAAGAAAATCCAGAGGTGGGCTTTGGACTTACCTTAAATCAGAATGGAATTACTGCTGAGATGGTCATGATAATGACATTTCCATTTGTGGAAGTTGGAGTGCAATCAATATAAATGAGAGGATAGTAGAAAGGGAGTTTGGGCTGAAAGGAGACGGTGCATACTAAATGCTCGAGCTACACAAAGCTCAGGTTCCATGGGACTCACCCTGGCTCACCGGGGTGCTCTGCACCTAGCAGGCAGATGACTCAGGGGCAAGCCTGAGCGCATGCTGCACGATTTCAAATTCAAACTGAGTTCCACACAATTAGGAATTTCACAGCATGCAATTCCAGAGTGCAAATGGCTTGCATATACGCAGTTTTAACAGGGATGAAGGCAACACAGAGGGCCCCTCCACACCGGGCATGTGTGCTCCTGGTGATCAGTTGGGTCCACAATCCCGGTGTATGCTAGAGGTGCCGTGGGCGTCCTTGGGATCCCCACAGTATGGGAATGGTCCCCTGAGACTTGTGCTTCATGTGCCTGGGGCCCAGAGTTGAGTGGTGGTTGCTGGTGGGAGGCAAGAAACAAGTTCTGGCTGCTGTCGGGCCAACTTCTCACTGCACCTGCTGCAGGAGGTGGACACCCACAGCATGCTCTGAGCCAGCTGTTCCTGCACAGACATCCTGCACAAGTTTATTAAGTGCAGGATTTCATTTATATAGGCTCTGCAGTTGGTCTAAGATGTCTTTTCTGTTTACACATTAATTCTCAATAAATGGCTGAAAGCGGTTTTGGAAACCAATACTCTCAGAGTCTGTACTGCTTGGTACCAGTAGAAACCAACACCCATGAGATGGTCAGGGCCCCTGGAATTGAGTGTTTGCCAAACCTCTCACCATCCATCGTAAACTCTTCCTTGCCTTACGAATGCTCCTGGGGAGATCCATTTTTCATACATCCTCCAATCCCCGGGAAGGCACCTTGACCTCCTACACTGCACCAATAGCACATGAACAATACTGAATGGTTCCACGGCAGAGGAAGAGGAGCAGAAATGGCAAAGGCAACCTAAGCCTTCCCAGTGCTCATGAAACTCCTCCCCAGCAACTGGAGCCTGGCAGGCTGGGTGTAAGTGGAGAAACGGTGTGTACTTTGGGGAGGAGGAGCTATACTTCCCTATTTGATGTCAGAGGGGCCTTCCAGAAAAAAAACAGCTGTCCTCCCTGTTTAAGGAGATTCGGTATCATTTCAGACATGACAGGTTGTGCTCCAAAAGAGCTATAGAAGTTAAAGGACAATATGACAAAGTAGAAAGGTGTTTTTTTTTTTAACCCCCAAATCTAACATTTTATTTCCTTGCGGGGGATCAGTAATGTTAAAGAAGAAATATGGTTTAGCCAAGAGGAATTACAGGCTCTAACTGAGCAACAAGAAGACAAGGACTGCAGAGCCAATGTGTCGTGGACACATGCTCCTAGGATGTGGATCAGAGTAAGACTTGCCCATGGAAGAGCATCCTAAGCAGGGTCTCCTCCTTCATACTGGACACAATTGTGTGGACAAGATAGTGTTTTCCATCAATTGCAGATTTTAATGTTAGTAAGTCCTAAATGTAACAGAAAACAGAAGGGCTTGAGATGGGGACAGAACAGGAGTTGAGATCTGGCCCTGCCTCTCAAGGCTGTGCGGCACTCTCAACTCCCTAACCTGTGGGGCTTGGATTGTCCACGGACAGCAAGAATATCATCATTCCATCCCTTCCACAGGCAGAAGGTACCCACTGACTGAAAAGTCAGATTTGGGAACTAGTAATGAATGTGTTAATTTGTGGTCATACCAAAAGGCCCTCTGGAGACCCGTTTTAACTAGACAAAGAGTGATGCTTGCCCTTCCCTGTGGTTGAGTGCAGAACATAGTGAATCTAGTGACCTGTTGCAAGAAATTTAGTAATTTCACAAAGGATAAAGAAATTAGATCTAAAATTTAAAAAGCCCGTCAAGATGGAGAACATGGGGTCAGGTCATATGGTGACTACTGTGGTTGGTTTTCTGATGTTTGTTTTTCAGCTAGTAGTGAGCCACAACCCAACAAGGCCACCTGTCTGTTGCTGGAGAGATTGGTGCTGACATATCCTGTTAGGAAGACCTGGCTTCCAAGTCACTCTGTAATGGGAGGATGGGGTGCTTGTTGATGGGTAATCAAGATTCAGCCCCCAATTGGCTCCGCATTTGAAATTCCTGCTGTATATCCACCCTGAAGTCCCTCCACAGATCCACATACCACTGTGTGTGGGAAAGAAAAAAAAAAAACCGAAAATAACCAACCAAAAGAAATAAGGAGCAATTTAGTGCTTCAATATATCTGACCTTAAGTGCTGATATAGTACAGACTTTTTTTTTTTTTTTTTGAGATGGGGGTCTTACTGTATTGCCCAGGCTGGCCTTAAACTTGTAATTCTCCTGCCTGAACCTCCTGAGTAACTGGAGGTTACAGGCTGTCATCTCACAGAAGCTCAGGGACCATGTGAGTATCGCTTAGGTTCTGGGATGCCCCTGCCCTCCTCCCTCTGATGAGAGACAAATCAAGTAGGGACTCTAGTGGTGGCCACCTGGCTATATTCCATTTTAATTTTGTTCCTTGTATGAATCAATCCCAAGAATGAATAATTGATTTTTATTTTTTTTTAATGCTATATGACCTACATGCCCACACGTGCACAGGGGCACACACTAACTAAGCATGGCCTCTAGTAGAATCATTGCATCTTCTAAGATAGTGAACAGGTCCAATATGCAACAGAACAGATACATATTTTTTTTTTCAAGGAATCTTAAAACTACACATATCTGAGTCATTACATGACGGGTATGTTGCTGAGGGACATCTAACCCCAGAATGTAGCATCTGAAATTGGATCTGTGGTATTTATGGGATAGACCACAGAGGTGACAAATCTCCTCATATCCTTTTCCTAGACCTTCACTGGCCTTCACTAAGATGTGAACATACAGGAGGATAAGGCAGGAAACCCTTAGATACTTTCCAAAGTGTCCCTGGAGGGTCCTTGACATGAGGCAGCTCCTGCAGAGCTCTAACACCCTTCCTGCCCCCATGCAGGGTTTGTGCTTACAGAGTAGCTGACCCTTTGTGAGGGAACAGCCTCAGGGCCCAGGGGTTCCCTTCCACACATCTCCACCCCACCAGCAGGATGTCTAGCAACAAAGGGCCTATGGCTTCCAGGTAGAGGCCCTACACAGCTCTCACCTGCCAACAGTGGGGCCCAATCATACAAGTCCACATATGGAAATTCACAACTTGGAGATCATTCCTTCTGCTGAGCCCTACACACTAAGCCTTCCAGAATCTCCTTGGTTCTGTCCCCACTTTGTCCTCCAGGACAGGGAGCAGGTGCTCAGGCCCTCTGACACCCTGTCTCCCCCCAGGAAGGCTTCTGACTCAGTCAGCTGGAAACAGACTCTGGTTGACTTAATGGGCACAAGGAGATAGTGAGATGGCATGAGACTGAAGCAACTCGTTGGCTCAGGCCTTCCCATCAAACGTCGGGGAGGCAGGGAGAAGTCTCACTCAAGATACCAACTCATATACCCAAACAACTTCTGGCACAGTAATCATTCTGTGTGCTTTGGATTAAACTTTCCATGCCCCGGCAAGCCGGGAATGGCTCCCCCAATCCTGCCTCCTGAGCTCTGGGCCCTGCCACCTCCTCCAACAGGCCCATGAATCTAACTTAAGTCCAGTCCCAGGCAGCTCTTCTAACCCCCCAGCTAAAGAGCCATGAATGCAAACACAAACCTCAAGATATCGTATGAAGAAACAATCCCACTTCCATTATCCATTCCGTTCTCAAACCCGGAGTTCTGAATGAAAACAAGGACCTATTGGTCAGATGAACTTTCAAAGCATACTGTAGCTAGGGAGGCAGCATGTCCCAGGGTCCGGAGAAAAAGTTATGCCATGCAACATCCAGGCTGCCAGAATGTGGCCCAGTCAGTTTGCTCTTTATTTATTTTACTGAGCCAAATATTTTGAAATCCAGTTACCTCTATAAAGGGTTGTGTGTCTGTGCGTGTGTGTGTGTGTGTGTGTGCGTGCACACACGCGCATATTTTTTAAAAATTGAAGTCATTACGAAACCATGTTTCTGGGGGGTTACTTTATATACAGCCATCAAATCTGCAGGTTTTCAGAACTTTAAGTACTAATAGCACTTCTGGGACCTCTTGTACTGTAAGATGTACAATATATGTAAGCATGGTCTTTCTTTTCCTGTAACATGCACAGTTATGGGTGCATACTTGTTTTATAAACCATGCATGCCTATCGGACAGGCCCTGCATGGGTTGTGAACAAGATACCTGGGATTTGGGGAGTTCCAGAAACCACCCTGCTGGAGCAGTGACAGGTGCACGTTCTCAGGTGAAGCCCTCCACACACCCTTGATTTCACCAATCCAAACCACTTCCTTCTTAAGTGGCCTATTAAAGCAAGCAGTCTACACAATCTTTCCAGGTTACTATAAGGATGATGGCATAGTCTTTCTATGAGATACAAATAAAACACAGAGTTGCTAAAGGTTAGCCACATCCTGCCAAGCACTGAATTCTCCACATCAATCCAAGTGCCCCAGCCTTTCCTGCTGCACAGTTGTATTCACCCAGGGAAGACAGACATCCTGCCCTGAGGGCTCTTCTCTTACCAGCAGGTCAAGTGCAAGGTGAGGAGAGCACCCTTCAGACACCATTACGTTTTTTAAAAAAATGGTATACCATAGGTAAGCCTTGAAATGTTATTCTTTAATGCTCTGTTAGGACAACCATGGAGCTTACCACCCTTGGTCACATGAGACCAGCACTGACATTCAAGAATCAGAAGGGAGTTTGGATGGGGGCTGGTGCCCTCACTTCCCCTTCTTCTCCTGACCAAAAATGTGGGGACTTAGGTTAGATGCTAGATTGATCTGCTCAACTGCCTGGGGCAGTGAGCTCAACCCAAGAACTAGGTTGCCAAAGCTGGGTCCTCAGAAGGGTGGGGGCTTTGGGAGTGGCAGTCCCCCATAGCAAACTTGTATGCATGGCTTATCTGAATTATCAATCTGCTCAAGCCAGACTCGTCTCTACAGTATAGAGTTACAATTATTGCTTCTATGACAGAAGGGGTCCGGAAGCCCTGGAGGCTTAGAGTTTGAGAAACACGGGCTGGCAACTGGGTTGCTGGGTGTAAGGAGTGGACTGGCCCGGGTTGGCGCAGCCTGTGGAAGCATTTGGAAGCATTCTGGGGCTGTGTTCTACTCTACAGTGTCAGGCACGGGAGGCATGCGAGGGTTCGGAAGGGAACACGCAGGGTCATTTCCCAAGGGCCACGGCATCACCGTGCAGGGGTTGATGTGGGTGCCGGGCTTTTCCTCATTTTTGGTACAAGTGAACAGGCAGCACCTGTAATTGGTGCACTATATACAGAGCATCTTAAAATAAATAATTTAGAGAAGAATCCTACCCGAATGGCTCTACCATTTGTACATGAATATTGTACAAGATTAAAAATAAATAAGGCAATATAATACAGTTTTTTATCACAAATAAAAAGGAAGTTGATTTTCACCAAACCCCAAGGAACATTATGGCTAAATGTGTTCCTGACCTCACAGGAAGTAGACAGGGTTTGGAATTGCTGATGATGGAGGAGATGTCTGCCCCTGATGTAGAGACTCCATCAAGGCTGCCACGTGGTCCACTTCAGAACAGTCCTGTGCCCAGAGAAGGTAGCATCGTCCCCTGTAGTGGCTTCCTTTGAACCCGACCATACCTCAAGGGCTTTGTACACACGCCCATCAGATTTCATGGCTTTGCGCACAAACTCATGACCATAAAGCACTATAGACCTCAGCTAGGACACAGTATGGCTGGTTGACTCGACTCAGAGTCACACAGACCAAGTCCAGGTGTCCTCAGGTTAGGATCCTGCTGATGGTCCTGTCTCCTGCTCATTCAGGCTGTTGCCAAGTTCATCTCTGGTGGCTTTGGGAGCAACATCCCTGCTTCTTCGTTGGGTGGGGTTATTCTCACGTTCAATCACGAGTGTTGTCTCGTGGTGCCTCATGTTTAAGCCAGCAATGAGGGCTCAGTCATGGTCACACCCTGGCCCTCCTGCCCCCTCATCCATGTCTGCAGGGCCCTGTGCTGCAGCCAGCCCACCCAGATGGTCAAGGACCCTTTCCAATTCTCAGGCTCCTAACCTTAATTCCATCCACAAAGTCCCTCTTCCTATGTAACAGAACACACCCTTAGGACCCAGCACCAGTCAGGGTGTGGGCATCTTTGAAAGCCACGCCTCTGTGCCTAACCTAGATGGCCCCATTGGGCAGTAGCACTGGAGGGCCAGAGCTATGTAGGGGAGACATGAACTAGGACCAAGCTATGTGGGCCTGTGGGTCTGGGGACAGCACCAGAGCCATAACAGGAGGAGTAGGGCAGCCCCCGCCCCACAGCCTACAGAGCCCAAGACAACAATGTATTTGCTCCTGTGTGTGCTCCTGTCTGAACTGACTGCCTCAAATCTGATTAGGAAAGATGAGAAAATCCTAGTGGAAAAGGAGATGGTAAGGATGACCCATTTGTCCCAAAGACAGGAAAGCGTGGGAGCAGACACAAGACAGGGCTGATAATGAGTGGTGGCAGGGTGCCCTACAGGTTCTCAGTCCTGTGGCTGGCTCAGGTGGATAAAAATGCCTGTCCTCAGGAGCCCTCAAAGCACATTCCTATAAACATGATCTCTGATGACAAGGAGAGGCCCCCGAGAGTATCTCCTCCTGCCCTCCGCCTCACAGGAACAGCCTCCACCTGCACATAGTGACACCAAAACACCAGGCCCACAAGAATCAGAAACTACATAAGGACAAATTGCCTATTCTCCATCCCCAATGTCTCTAGTGAGGTCCTGGGGGTCAGCTTGGCCCTGGCTTGAGAGTTCCTCATCTCACCCTGGGGAAGGTGCCAGGAAGACAGCAGACCTGGTCAGAGTCCCCTGCAGGAGGAACTGGAGGCCATATGTGTGCTCCCTGCACCATTACAGAGTCACGAAAGGACAGTCCTCACAGCCCTACCTGGTCACCAGTAGTCCAGGGCCTTAGGTATATGGGGACCCTGAATGCAGTTCCATCTCCTACTGTCCCCTTTCCAAAGCTATTCACTCTGCCCACCTCTGTCCTAAGTCCTGCCTCAACTGAGTCCTGTCGAGACAGGTAGTCAGCTTTCCCCAAGCATCATCTCACCAGCTGGCCCACAAAGCTCCAGCTATGGGCAAGGCCCCTGTTGCCACTGCACAGTCACACAACTGAGCTAGGGCTGAGCTAAAGGGCCCTGCCCATACGCAAGTCTGCACCTCGGGGAAGGAAATCTGGGCTTTTCTCTGCTCCTATCCTGAAAAGCTGAGATCCCTAGGAAGTAGGGAGAGTCCCTGGTAGCAGTGCAGAGAGGGACCCCCATAGCCATGAGTAGGATAAGATTCAGGTCACATAAACCTTTTGGAGCTACAGGTCTCTAGACATTCACCAACCAAGGCACTGGCCTAGAACCTCTCCCCCTCCCTCCCCCCCACCATATTTCAAGCTTCCTGTGACAAGGTCAGAAGTCTACAGGAGCCAAATCTTCCAGTTATTTCTGGCCAGTCCATTCCTATCTACCTACTGGCTCTCCTGGACCCTGTTCCCCACATCCTTCATCTTCATACCCATCACAACCATTAAGCACAGGTGGGAGGTCCCAGATGTCAACAGGACCACCTTCAGCTAATTTCCTTGCACACTGGAGCAGGAACACCTGGACTCAGGACCACAAACTCTGCTAACCTTACGACCACCCACCTGCTCCAGGAGGGCTGGTTCTGTCAGAGAAACTATGCCTTCCATCAAGGAAGCTGGCTTATGGTGTGACGGTCACTCATTTTCAACACCAAGGGAACCTTGATTGTAATGTACAGGGTCCAAGTGACCAGGGATTAGGCAAGGCCTGATGCTCACCCCTCTTCTCCTTTGGATACATAGCCATGGTGCAGTAAGAGGAACATCCAGCTGTCACAGGAGCCTGAGCTGGCAGGTGGGGCAGGGGGAGAATGCACACGCGGAACAAGCAGCTGGTGCTGGCCCATGATGGAGTGGGGCTGTGGAGCCCCCCTGATGGTTCCAGAAGGCCTGCCTCTGGCTTCTGGTAAAATCCTGCTCATGAGAAAAGCCAGCAGCCTTCACTCTCCATGCAATGAGAGGCAGCTTCTCGATTCTTTCCAGACTGTCCTGTTCAAGACCTGACCAGCTCTGTGCTGTGTCCACAGTGTGAAGAGCTCAGCCCTTATGGCCCTGCCCCACAGTGCTGACTTCCCAGTGCAGTTCTTGGAGCTGCTGCCCAGGGCTGGGGCTGTCCACAGGCCAGGATCCATCACAGCCAGATTGCCGTGGTGCCAACTCAGGGCTCACTGATGATGGATTCGTCTGTCACTCTGCCAGCCAGAACTCCATGACTCTTGTTGTGTTCCTCACAGATATTCTGAAGATCCCAGCATCGATGGTGACACTGGCCAGACCTGGGTAGCTACACTGGGAAGAGGCAGGGCTTCCCTATGCCCCAAAGGGGTGGCTTAGGCACATCTCCTATTGACTCTCAGGTCCCACCTCGAAAATGCTCTTTCTCCTTCCCGGTCACTGTCTTCCTGTTCTGCTCATCTGGATGGTCCTGACTGGAGCCAAGGTGGCCTGTGTCACCCCGGAGCATTCTTGCCCTGCATGCACCTCCAGAGGCCAACATGAGCTCGGTTAAGCTTCCTTCCCCGCTGCTGCAGGTGGCAGGTACTGGCCTGTGGGAACTGGGGGGAGCCCTGCCCTGATTGGTGGGCCTGCTGCGGGACACAGTGGGGGCCGTCTGGCCTGGCCTCCAGCTCTCCCATAAGCACACATCTTGCGCTCCAAGTGAAGAGGCCTGGGGTGGGAGCCATTTCCATCAGTCCTGCCTTCTAGGAAGTACGTCAGCATCTCCCCCTTGCCTTTGACACTGACTTTGCCTCGGCACACAAAATGGTAGGCACACTTTCTCAGCAGCCGGTGTACCTCCTCAGTCACCTGTCATAAGGAGAAGCCAGGTTATTCTCAGTCAAAAGCAGTAAGCGGGGGTCCTCTGGGGAATGGGATCCCCAAGTGCACCATTCCATCCTGTATCTCTCACTTGCCCACCCTGACTGCATGAACCTGGTGGAAGCCTTGGGACAAGCAGCGATGCCTTTAGTTGCCAGGGTTAGGGTACAGCTGTCTCCAGGGTTCTGGGAGTAGGGGTCACTAGCATATAGAAGGCAGAGGCAAACTGCCAGGAGAAAACAGGGTCATCTCTTAGCTCCCCTTTTTATCAAGTCTCTAATCAGAATTTTACCCCCAAGAATTCCTGTCTCACCAAGTCAGAGAGAGGATAAAAGATGAGAAGCACTTTCTCTTCAATAGAGTCATGTGAACAGCACAGGACAGGATCTCTACTTTGTCTTGGAGCCACCTCTCTCCCTCCATGGCCACCACCATCTTTTTAGTTAAAACAATGCAATCTGCTACCAGCTACCTTCTCATGTCCTGGCAGAGCTGGGGTGGGGGCCCTGGCATTAGTTATCAGGATGCCTGGGCAGGGGAGAGAGGACAGAGGCCCCAGGTGTAGGGGAAGCTGTGGGTAGATGGTTGCATCCAGGCAAAGGGAGATGAGGCCATGGGAGGCTCAGATATCATTCTAGAAACACAGAATCAGCAACACTGCTATGGGGCAGTGGCCTGCCTGAAGATAAGGCAGGGCTGCCTTGAAATTCTTCCTTGGGGAGTGACCAGCTTTAGGAAGACTACAGAAGAATGCAAGCCAGAGGTCAGGGTAACAAAGTATTGAGCACATCCTAGAGAGGGACGACAGTGAAGGCTGAACAACTATGGGAGAGTACTTAATGCCACTCAGCTGTGCTCTTACACATGGTTATGACAGGACATTTTATAATAATAAATAAATCTTAGGAAAAAGAAAAAAAAAGTAACAATGCGGAAGTACAGAGATGTTCTGTGCATGTTCCAGACAGGAGAGGAAGTACCACAAAGATTTTGGCTTACCTATTTTTTTTTTTCTTTTTCTGAGGGAAGTGGTATACAGAGGATTGAACCCAGGGGCACTTTACCACTAAATTACATCCCTTGTCCTTTTGAAGTTGCTAAGGCTGGTCTCATACTTGATCCTCTTGCTTCAGCCTCTCTAGTCACTGGGATTACAGGTATATGCCACTGTGCCTGATTGTTCTATTTCTTAAACTGTGGAACCCAACAACCAACCAAAGCATCTGACCTTGAGATGTTGCCCAATAAATGCTTGTCAGAGAAACATCTGTGCCCTGCCTGGCGGCCTCTGCCGCCCTGGATGCTGAAACTTGGTGTCTTATTTGTGAAGCCAATGCTTGCACTCACGGTCATCTGCAGGATGACCCAGTGAGGCTTTGTGGTAAGGTGAAGGACCAACATCCAGTGGGACGCAACACAGTGACAGCTGTCACTGAATTGAGTCAGACAACCCTCCCATGGCCCAGCCACAGCAGGAGAGAACCAGCCCTAACTGTCAAGTGCCCTCTGTTCCCTTCCCCATTCCATAGTGAACAGATCAATCATGCTCTGGGGGTGCCTTCAGGCCTGCAGTGCCCAGGTCGGGTGTCAGGGGGACTGGCCCACAGGGCCTTATCCAAGTAGACATCAAGGCCAGGTTTCATGTTACTCTAAGGGGAATCCTAAAGGCACTCCCTCCCCTCACTGCCTTTTAGTCCTTTCAGTGGTTCTTAGAAGGTGTCACAGCCCCTTCTGAGTAGTCCAGAAGTTCCTCAGATATGGTGGCATGCACCCTGACCTTCAAATTCAGGTAAAACCCTTCCCTCCTATGGCAGCTAGGCAGAGCCCAGGTCCTGAGACAAGAGAGGAAACTGAGCAATCAGGCTGTCAGGATTAGTGCATGGCGCTGACCCCATGACTCACTGTGATCCCCAACTCTGTACCTGCTCATTCAAAAGCCACTCACAAGGCAGCACAAACAAATCAAATATCAAAATCAAATTGCCAAGGCAGAACTGTAACCCTCCAGACACTGAGCTATGCAGTACCACTTACCGGTCGCATATGTCAGTCCCCCCTCGGCCCTCTATGCCTCAGTTTGGGCATTGCATCTTGGGAATTTGTGGGTGAACTTACCTGGATTCTGCCCTGGACTCCGGTGCTGTCCATCCGACTGGCCACATTGACCGTGTTTCCCCAGATGTCGTACTGGGGCCTTCGAGCACCAATCACTCCAGCCACCACAGGGCCAACATTGATACCTAGAAAATAGTCACGTATGGCCCTGTGGTCAGCTGGAAAAGTAGGACTCACTGGCTTGGGCCACCTAGTGTGTTTAATGATGTCCTCAGTGGAGAAAAGCTGCCCCCTTCTAGGTCTTGCTCTGTCCTAAAGCAGAACTCCTCCAGACTCACAGAGGGGCAGCAGCAAGTCCCTTCTGCCCAGGGCTCCCAGGTGGCCAGTGGGCAGTCCCCTCACAACACCCTCCACTGCTATTTGCAACAGCACTGTCAGAAATAATTCCTAATCCCAAGGAAAAGCCCAGGTCCTGTAATACTGGCTCTTGTGTGGAGTTGTACTCTGGAGCTACCAAAAAGTCTGACTGCAGTTTCTCCTGAACTTTTCTCAGGGTACAATGCTGCAACTACTTCAGCGCATGGGTCATAGAACTAAGCATGATAATCCAGATGCTCTGAGGGGAGGCTGTGGAGGCCCCTCTCTTTCTGCAGCGTGGGGTCCAGCTGGCCTCTGAGCACATGCACTCCTGGAGAGTGTCACAAGGTCCAGGTGCACCTAAGTCTGAATCACCCTTGTGAGACCTCTGGCAAAGTGCTTACCTTCTCTGGGCCTGGGTTTCCTTCCCTGTAAATGGGGCACAAAACTTCTTGTGCTGCCCTGGCCTGGCCTTAGGCAGGACAGCCAGGGGATTCATCACAGCCCACTGGCACTGTCCCAGAGACCAAGTCTGATAGGAGCAGATGCCACATCTTATCTTCCCTTCTTTCTGTGCTTATGAACCTATTTTTATGTCAACTCTGGAAACCTCGTCCTAGGTGGACGAGATTGAGTTGGGACCAGCCTGTTGGGCAGTACGACTGCAGGGGCTGCTGACCATGGCATGTCTTCCTTTGTAGGAGATGAAGGAACAGAATCTCTCCAACCCACCACCAAATCTGATTCTGGTTACATCAGTACGTCTAGTAACTGGAGCTTAAGGCTCAAGAGGAGGCCCAGATGCTAGGGAGGAGGGATGGTGGCTGACCCTTCCCCTACCTTCAGGGTGGACACCATGCTAAAACAGAACTTGGCATCTAAGGACATCAGCTTTCCATGACTACGAAGTACATAACTGCCTCCCTCACACTCAAGCACCACCCAAGTTTGTTTTAAAGGCTACTAGATATTTGAATTAAAGGACAACCATAAATCTCTAGTTTAACTACATACTAGACTAGAAGAAAGGAAGGAAGGAAGGAAGCAAGCATTTGGAAGAGAAAGAAAGTAACCATAAATATCTGGTTTTATTGGATTCTGGACTAGCATGAAGTTTTCTTATAAACTATCTGCATCTCAGAAGAGGGTGAATTGGGAATTAACACCTTGTCCCCATCAACAAACCATAGTTTTGTAAAAGCTAGAAAGGAACTTAGACACCCAGCTTTCTTTCCTCACTTCACAGGCCAGGGAAGGAGCTGCCTGGGTTCCACAAATGGGCTCTAGCCAAGGTCTCTTTCTAAGGGGATCCACATGCCTCAGCCGCTGGAGCTAGCACCAATGAGCTGAAAGGACACTATTCCACCAGTTGAGTGTGTACACAGAGGTGCCTCTAAACAACTCTGCAACAACTTAGATTTCTAGCATGTCTCATGAGCTGGACAAAGACTCTTTTGTCCTAAGTCCTTTTCTGAAGCATCCATACTTTCACAAGTCACTTTCAGAGGCAAGGCTGTCCCCATGTCTCCCATGTGTTCCTGGGTGCCACTCTCCCTCCTATAAGACCAGGAACCTGCGGCCCTCTCTCAGGTAGGAATAGGAAAGGTATTCTCCAATAGAGATGGGATAGGTCTAGAGCCACCTACCAACTCGGAGGACAAAGTCATTGTACGACTGGTAGTTGATTTCATCCAAGACGTCAAACATGTCAATAGCAAAGTCAGCCAGTGTGCTGAGGTGGGAGGAGATGGACTTCTTAGCCTAGGCATGAATAGATGAAAGCATTATGTTTGGAGGGTGCCATTACAGGAGGACACAGACCAGCTGCACCAGTCCTGGGTCTGTGATTTGATTCCTACATTAAAGCACAGCAGCCCTGGAAACTGTAGCTGCTGCTGGTATCTGGTTGAGGGCACATTTATCAGTCCTTCTTATGGGTTGGAGAGTAAGGCAGGATACTGTCCACACTGGCTCCCAAGGGACAGAGACAGGTCTCCTAAAACCATGCAAACCTGGTCATGCCCCTCTGCGGGCTGGTGAGCCCTGGGATTGGGAGACCTGCTCAAATTCCTACTCAGATAATGCTGTCATCACCCACTACAAATGATCAAAGCAAGGATAGAGGAACTATGCCAGGGAGCAGCACCAACTTCCTTCCTGTTGGGACTGTGTGTGTGTGTGTGTGTGTGTGTGTGTGTGTGTGTGTGTGGGTCTGGTGAAGTCTTTTCATGAAAGAGTAACAGTTGTAAGGTTTCTGATTTTTATTTTCTAAAGAAAATTTTATTAGCCCTCAACATCAGAGAACTAATGCCTTGAAAAAAAATCAGCAGACTGTTTTTCAGGACAGGTTTAGGTTTATAAATAAACTGAGTAGATTATAAAAAAGTTTCTCATGTTCCCATCCTCCTCCACATAGAATTCCCATTATTGCTAAAACCACCCATTCCTCTGTACACTTGTTACAACTGAAGGGCCAATGCTGACATAAAATTATCACCCAAAGATTATAGTTAACATTAGGGCTTATTCTTAGTGTTGTGTATTTAATGGGTTTTGACAAATGCATAACATACAGTGACACACATCTACCACCAGTGTCACACAAAATAGTTTCAATGCCTTAAAAATCTTCTGTGCCTAATCATTTCACCTTTTCCCCAAACCCCAACAAACACTAATCTTTTTATAGCCTCCATAATTTTTCCTTTTCTAGAATGTCATGTGATTGGAATCATACAGTAGGTAGGCTTTTTTTAAATATTTATTTTCTGGTGTAGATGGACACAACACAATGCCTTTATTTTTATGTGGTGCTGAGGAGCGAACCCGGGTCCCGCCCGTGCTAGGCGAGCGCTCTACCACTGAGCCACAATTCCAGCTCCCAAGTAGGTAGGCTTTTCAGACTGACTTCCTTTATGTAGTAATTTGTATTTAAGGTTTCACCATGTCTCTTTATGACTTGAGAGCTCATTTCTTTTTATCACTTAATGATATTCAATTTTATGAATATATTAGAATTTGTTCACCCATTCATTAATTGAAGGGCTCACAGGTTTCGGTGATAATAAAGCTGCAATCAATAAAGCTGCACACATTTCTATTTCTGTGTGAACACAGTTTGCATCTCATTTTGATAAATATCAATGACTGCAATTGTCTAGACAGCATGGATAAGACTACGTTCAGCTTTGTAATAAGATTCTGCCAAACTGCCTTCACAGTGGCTGTACCATTTTTCTTCCCACCAACAATGGATGAGAGTTCCTGATGCCTACCATGGATCTTCTTTGGTAAACTGCTTGTTCAGATTCACTTTTTAATTAGGTTGTTTTCCTTCTATGATTGGATTTTAAGAAGTCTTTGTATATTTTAGATATAAACCCTTTATCAGGTAGTTTGCAAAGATTTTCTCCAAGCCTGTGGCTTGACTTTTCATTTGCTTAATATATTGCATGGAGTAGGAGTTTTTAACTTTAATAAACCCCAAATTAAAATTCTTTTCTTTCATGGATCATGCTTTTGGTATTGTCTCTAAAAAGTCATCACCAAATCAGAAATCATTTTATAGTTTTGAATTTTATATTTAGGTTCATTACCTATTTGAGTTAATTTTTGTGATGGGTACAAGGTCTGCATTTATATTTTTTCTTCTTTTTAATGGATATCCAGTTGTTCTAGCATCATTTGTTAAGAAGACTATCATTTCTCTTCATTTTTCACAGATCAGTTGACTATATATATTTGTGTGGGTCTATTTCTGGGCTCTTTATTCTAATTCATTGATCTCTTTGTCTGTTCTTTCCCCAATACCATACTCTCTTGATTACTGTAGCTTTATTTTCAGTCTTGAAGCTGGACATTGTTAGTCCTCTAGCTTTGTTCTTCCTCTTTAATATTGTGTTTGCTATGCTGGACCTTTTGTCTTTAATTATAAACTTGGGATCGGTTTGTGAATATCATAAAATATCCTGATGGGAATTTGATTAGTATTGTATTAAATCTACAGATCAAGTCAGGGAGAACTGAAATCTTGATAATATTAATTCTTCCTGTGCAAAAACATGGAATATATTTCCACTTATTTATACCTTTCTTGAATTCTTTTATCAGAGCTTTGTAGTTTCCTTCATATAGATCTTGTATATATCTTGTTAGATTTATACCTAGCATTTTTTGGTGCTAATGTAAATGGTATAGTGTTTGTAATTTCCAATTCCAATTGTTCACTGCTGATATATAGGATAGTGATTAAATTTTATATATTAAACTATATCCTGCAACCTTGCTAGAATCACTTACTAGTTCCAGGATTTTTTTATTGTTGATTTTTTCAAATTTACTACACAAATAATCATGCTATCTGCAAACAAAGACAATTTTCTTTCTTCCCAATCTGCATGCCTTTCATTTTATTTTCTTGTCTTATTGCTTAGATAGGACTTTTGATACAATGTTGAAAGGGATTAGAGAGAGAGGAAATTCTTACTGTGCTCCTGATCTTAGGGTGAAAGTTCCTAATTGATATTAAGCTATAGGTTTTTTTTTTTGTTTGTTTGTTTGTTTTGTAGAGGATGTTTCTTTACATTCACAGTTTACCTAGTTTTTATTGGGAATGAGTGTTGGATATAGTTAAATGATTCTGCTACCTATATTAATATGATGAAATCATTTTTCCTCTTTATCCTATTGATGTGATGAAGTTCACACAAGTTGTAATGTTGAACCTGCCTTATATATCTGGAATGAATCTAACTTGGTCTTAGTTCATAATTCTTTTCATTCGTTACTGAATTCAATTTTCTAATGCATACTCATGACAAATACTAGTATACAGCTTTCCTTTCTTGTGTATTTTTGTCTGAATTTCTGATCAGGGTGATGCTGGCCTCATAGAATAAGTTAGCAGTGTTCTGTTTTTATCTTCTGGAAGAAACTGAAGATAATTGGCATCATTTTTTTTCCCTTGAATGGTAGAATTTGCCAATTAATGCATCTGGGGGCTGTAGAAAACTTGCCCAGCATGTGCTTAGCCCTGGGTTCAATTCCAAGCACCACAAACTTATATACATACATAAAATTCTTCATGAAAAAAAAAACTATTACAATGAATGCGTCTGGGCCTGCTGCTTTCTGTTTTGGAAGATGTTAATTATTGAATCAATTTATTTAATAGCTATAGATCCATTAACCATATTTATTTTCATATTCACAGTTCTGCTTTGAGGAAGGAGAATACTCAGTGCAGTGCTTGGAAGGAAGAAGAGGGAGCAAGTAGGGATAAGAGGGTGGGTCAAAGCTAGACAAGCCCTTGTGATCAACTTTCTGTGTGGATTTTCCCTAAGAGATCATGTCTGGAAGGAGCCAGCAACTTGACAAGATAGGCTGGGATCCACTTTCCTGATCCAATGAAAGGAAAAACCAACCCCAGTGTGGGGACCTTCCCGGGATCCTAGAGTCCGCTGGAGCAGGACTGGACCCAGGCCCAGGCACAACAGGGGCACTACTCACTCTGGTTCCTGCTGTGGGCGCCAGCCCCACTGCAGCCATGTAAGTGCTTCCAATGGTCTTGATCTTCTCTAGATCCTTATAAAACTCTTTGTCCATGAGCTTTGTCAAAAACAAGACAGTTAAACATTATAGAACATTTGAGAGACATCATTGTAGTCATCAGCTATTGGGAGCAACTCAGGAGCTGACCAATACATTGTGCAGAGCAACTCAACCTCTTTCTTTTGGGTGCCAGATAGGTTCTGGGACTGCATATGAAAAAGGCAGCAAGGAGGAATGGTCAAGACCCATCCCTGTCCCTGCAACTGAGCTCACAGTCACTGGGGGAAATGGGGTCTCTGGTAATGGCAGCAACTGACAGACACAGTATCTGACTGCAGAAGATACCTGGAGGTACCCAACTGCCTGCCCATCTACAGAGGAAGCTGCACAGCCCTGGTCACTGTAGATGTCAAGCTCTTGACAACTCAGTGGCCCTTGTCTCCTATCCTAGTGTAAACACCTACTTTTTTAATTGTCACAACTGACCTGGACCCTAAAGGAGATGTGGGTGCTTACTCCCTACACATCTAAAGAGCATGACATATTGGAGTAGGTGCAGGGAAAACCAATCAGTAAGATGTAAGCAGACAATACAGCATGGCCTCACCTCATCAAAGTCAGCGATAATCTCGTTGAGGAGTCGCAGACACTCCACTCCCATGTTGTTGCCGTCCAGCTCGATGTAGAAGTCATTGAAGTTGGGGATAGAGGCAAACATGACACCCACCTGGGAGTAGGACTGGTAGTAGAGGTCCTGCAAGAGCAGAAGGGTCAACCTGCCAGGCAGGGGTAGACAGAGCAGCACTTGGGCTAGGGACAATCCAGGCTGCATGGGCCCAGCCTGTTTTACAGACAGGGAGATAGGTTCCAGGGGTTTCAGGTCATGTGACTCATACCTCAGGGAAGATCCCTATGTCCCACCTTCTCTTGGAGGCCAGGAAGGTGAAGAGGCCATAGGAAAAGACAGAATTTTAGGAAAGCCTTGCACTGCATGGCTGCAAAACTTGGCCAGATGAACAATTAGCACCTGGAGCGACTTCAGGCCAAAGAAGATCAAAGCTGAAACTTGGGGTTTCATTTCTGCCTTTAGGACCTTAAAAGACCAATCCACATTTCTTCATTTTTAAATTTGGCCTTTTAAAGCACCTGGCTTCTACTATATTAATGTTCTAACTCATTGCTATAGCAGTCACGGCTGTTAGAAGTTCTGAACAACCCCAATACACTAAGAAAAGGGCGGGGGGAAAGAGTCTTCAGAGGTTTCAAGCATATGTAACAAAACAAATCACTCCATGGCCAGGCATGCTCTATTTTTTTAAGGTTTGTATTGGCCAAAAAATTATCTATCAGGTAATTTGAAATTTTTAAGTCTTGAGAAACCACATCTGAGATTTACTAAAGCCTATTTTCCTTGCCTTGGATGGAATAATAATAAATACTTTGTTCTTTCCCATGATTCAAAGGGGAGAAGAAAACTAAATCAAACACTCCTGTCAAATGGGGCCCCAGGAGCTTCCTGATGACCCAGCACTGGCCCTGCCCTCAGGCACAGGCCAGGTGGCCCAGTGAGAAGCTGAGTCTGCTAAATCACAACACCCTTCATCTAGGGAGGCCTCCAGTTAAAACAGAGAAAAGAGGATGGGTCAAAACCAGATCTGCACCTGAATATCAGGATCCCCTGACACCTCAGAAGATCCCAGAAGACTTCAGTAGGGGCACAGGATGTGGTAACCATATAGCAAGGTGCTCACCATATTCCGGGGATTGGACATGAGGAAGTGCTGTGCAACGTGGGCTGGAAGGAGGTTAAAGAGGATCCTCTTGTTGTCCAGCTTTACCCTCTCCATATCATCCCGCTCCTCTTCTGCCTGAGGGGCATGTAGATCATGAGAATCAGTCATTCACCTGCCCTTACCTGCCCACTGCAGCTTCTCTCTGATCATCCACACTGGACTCTGTGTGAATGAAGAGTCCACACTAGGGCTTTCCCTTCCCTCCCACCAGACACAGGGACCAAAGTCAGATTATAGAACTGGGGAATTCACAGTTGTATGTATAAATCACCTCCCCTACCACTGTAACTTTCAAAGGACTGACAATGGCTCTCCTCATTTTCAGGTCTGCCCCATCCCCAGCCACTTCCTGGGAACCAGATACTTTGCACCAGCTCCAGGCATCCACCCAGGTCTGTTTGCCCAGTATCAGGCAGTGGATACTTCTCTAAGCCACCCAAAGTTCCCTCTAGAACTCTGTCTTCCTTCATGAGAGCTCATATCCCTCTGATATTGAGACAAGAATGCTGTGGGATGTCAGTTATCATTTGGAAGCAAACCAATAGGCTCATCTCAGACTTCCCAACTCAGACCCCCAAATCAAGGAGGCCTGGAATGAGATATTAGAAACTCTAAAAGAAAACAACTACCAGCCAAGATTGCTGTCTCTAGAAAGGCTATATTTCAAATTCAATGAAGAATTAAAAACTTCCCATGACATGGATAAACTAAAAGAACTCATGACCTCTAAGCCAGTTCTACAAAGAATACTCAAGACATACTGCAAATGGAGGAAACCAAAAGCAAACCCAAAGCTCTCCAAGAGATTAAGATCACTAGAAGAGCAGCCAATTGATTGAAAATTAAGACAGTTAAATACAGCAAACAAACCAAAATGGCAGAAAAATAAAAACATATGTACATAATAACACTGAATGTAAATGATCCCAACTCCCCATTAAAACACATAGATTAGCAGAATAGATCAAAAGACAAGATCCAACTACATGCAGTGTGCAAGAGACTGATCTCATGGGCAAAGACCTCACAGGCTGAAAGTAGAATGATGGAAAAAATATTCCATGCAAATGAAATCTGAAAACAAGCAGGTGTAGTTATTCTCATAATTGACAAGCAGATTCTGAGCAAAAGTTAACCAGATAAGACAAAGAAAGCCATTATGGACTGGTCACGGGAGCTATCCAACAAGAAGATATAACAATAGTAAATATATATAACCCAATTAGTGCACCTAATTATATATATATATATATATATATATATATATATATATACATACATACATACATGCATATATATTTCCTCTTGATGTTCAATCCCAGATAGAACTCAATACAAAACTACTGGGGGCTTTCAACACATTCTTATCACCAATGGGCCATTCAAGGAAGATATTTATGTTATTAATATAAGTCAAATGGATCTAGTAGACATCTACAGAATATTTCATCCCCAAACAGCTAAATTTACTTTCTTCTCAGTACCTCATGAAACTTTTTCCAAAATAGACCATGTTGTATGTTAATAAATACAAAATAACTTGTACAATCCTGTGCAACCTATCAGATAATAATGGAATGAAACCAGAAGTTAACAGCAAGAAAAATATTGGAAACCATATAAACACATGGATATTGAATAATACTCTGTTAAATGAAGAATGGATCAAAGAAGAAATGAGAATAGAAATAAAAAATTCTTAGAAATGAACATGAACAGAGATACAACATATAAAAATCTCTGGGACAGTATGAAAGTAGTTCAAAGAGGGAAATTTATAGCATTGACTGCCTGCATTAAAAACTAGAGAGATCCCAAATAAATAAGCTTATGCTACCACTCAAGGCCTTAGGGGGAAAAAACTAATTCCAAAATCAGTAGAAGACAGGAAATAATTAAAATCAGATCTAAAATTAATGAAATAGAGAATAAAAAATACACAGGATCAGTGCAGCAAAGAGTTGGTTCTTCTAAAAGATAAGTAGTATTGGTAACTGTTAGCCAAACTAACCAAAAGAAAGCAAGAGAAAACCCAAATAACCAAAATGAGATGAAAAAGGACATATCGCCACACACCTCCTGAAATCCAGAAGATTATCAGAACTTATTTTGAAAATTTATACTCCAATAAACTGGAAAATGTAGATGACACTGACAAATTTCTAGACAGAAATGACCTGCCCAAATTTAATCAGGAAGATATAGAAAACCTACACAGACCAATATCAAGTAATGAACTTGAAACGGTAATTGAAAGTCTTCCCAAAAAGAAAAGTCCGAGATCAGATAGATTCTCAGTTGCATTACACCAGACCTTTAAAGAAGAAATAACACCAGTCTTTCTCAAATCATTCCATGAAATTGAAAGGGAGGGAACACTCCCAAATACATTCCATGAAGCCAGTAAACCCTGATACCAAAACCCAAGATTCATCAAGGAACAACAAACAAACAAACAAACAAAAAAACTAAATGCTAATACCCCTAAAGAACACATGTGCAAAAATCCTTAATAAAATATTAGCAAACTCCTTTCAAAAGCACATCAAAAAGATAATACACTACGATCAATGGATTTTGTTACAAGGATGCAAGGTTGCTAGACATACATGAATCCATAAATGTAATTCACCACATAAACAGAATTAAGAATACAAATCACATGATCAGAATAGGCCTTTGATAAAATACAGCACCTATTCATGATAAAAATGCTAAAGAAGATCAAAGGTACTTACCTCAACATTGTAAAGGCCACTTATGACAAGCCTTTTTTCATATAAGATGAAAAAAAACTAAAAGCATTTCCTCTACAATAATAAACAAGACACTCTCACCATCACTCCTATTCAATATAGTCCTCAAAACATCAGCCAAAGTGATCATGCAATAAAGGGTTATCCAAGGAATACAAATAGGAAAAGAAGAAGTCAATTTTTATCTGTTTGCTGATGACATGATCCTATATTTATAAGAATCAAGTAACTGCATAGTAGAATACAAGATCAACATTCATAAATCATAGCTTTCCTGCATTACAACTGTGATCCTGCTGAGAAAGAAAAACTAACCTATTTATAATGACCTGGAAAAACTAAAATACTTGGGAATTAATCTAGAAAAAAAAACAGATCAAGATAAAAACAGCCCTTACATTCATCATCCATTTGGAAGAATAAGAGACTCAGAATAGCCAAAGAAATCCTGAGCAAGAGGAGTGATGCAGGAGACATCACAGTACCTGATCTTAAATTATAGTACAGAGCTATTGTAACAAAAACAGCATGGGATTGGCATCAAAATAGACATAAAGACCAATGAACTAGAAGACAGAAATAAACCCACATATTTACAGTCCTCTGATACTTGACAAAAGTGCCAAAAATACATGTTGGATAAAAGATAGTCTTTTAAACAAATGGTGCTAGAAAAACTGGATATTCACATGTAGAAGAATGAAATTAGATCTGTATCTCTCACCCTGCACAAAGTCAAACCCAAGTGGATCAAAGACATAGGAATTAGAACAGAAAACTTTTCAACTACTAGAAGAAAACAAAGAGTCAATACTCTATCATACAGGTGCAGGCACCAATTTCCTTAAAAAGACCCCTAAAGCTGAAGAAATAAAGATAAGAATCAATAAGTGGGATGCCATCAAAATAAAAACCTTCTGCATAGTAAAGAAAATGACTAAGAGCATGAAGAGAGAGCCTACAGAATAACAGAAAATGTTTGCTAGACACTTCTCTGATCCAGAATATATAAAGAACTCAAAAAGCTTAGTATCACAAAACAAATGACCCAATTAATAAATGGGAAAAAGAACTATATAGAATTTGTCCAAAAAAGAAACACAAATGGCCAAAAAATATATGAAAAATTATTTAACAACCCTAGAAATCTGGGAAATGCAAGTCAAAACTACACTAAGATTTCATCTCACTCTAGTTGAAGTGACAATTGTCAAGAATACAAATAATAATAAATGCTGGTGAGAATGTAAGATACACTCATATATATAGGACTGAAAATTAGTGCAACCACTCTTGAACACAGTATGGAGATTCCTCAAAAAACTAGGAGTGGAACCACCATATGGACCTGCTATCCCCACTCTTTGATATTTATCCAAAATAATTAAAATCACCATTCTACAGTGATGCAGCTAGGTCAATATTTATAGCAACACAATTCAAAATATCCAAGTTATGGAAACAGCCCAGGTGCCCACCAGTAGATGAATGGATTAAGAAAATATAAGGTATATACACCATGGAGTTTTACTCTGTCATAAAGAAGAAAGATAAATTATGGCATTTATCTCTAAGTGGATAGAAATGGAAAACGTCACACTCAATGAAATAAGCCAGATTCAGAAAATCAAGGGCCAAATGTTTGTTCTCATATATGAAAGCTAGAGCAAAACAAGGGGGAAAAGGGGTGGGCCGATTGGATTTCATAAAGCTATAGGGAAGATTAATGCAGTAGAAGAAGATTGAGAAGGAGGGAAGAGGGACACCAAAGGGGAGGAAATACAGAATAAGTTTAACAAAATCACACTCTATGCATGTATATATACAACACAGGAAATTCCACCTTTATGTACATGTAGAAAGCACTCATCAAAAATATACAAATAAATAAGTGGAAGTAAGATCAGAAGCACAGAGGAAGGAGAAAAGTAGGATGAAGAAGGAGAGGAAAAGGTGATGGCAGGGAACAGGAACTGAAATGGGTAAATCAAATTCCATGCATGTATGATTTTGTCAAAATGAACCCAATTACTATGTGTAACTATAATGCTGAGAGAGAGATTGAGAGAGAGAGAGAGAGAGAGAGAGAGAGATTGCTGTGGGGACCTGGTGGGGTGGACCTACGAGCTCTGGCCAGTAATAAGCACCATCTCCTAGAAGAGGAAACCAGAGGCTCTGATGTGAACAGCAGGCACAGCCCAGTCCTAGCCTGCTCACCACCAGCTGCAGGGCTCTGCAATGGCTGATGAAAACAGCAGCATGGGCCACCAGGGGGCTTAAGATGTGCTGCTGGCAGGGCCCATGGCCTGTGGCACAGGC